CGGGGGGGCCCGGCCGCCGCCGCCGCCGCCTCCTCGACGCTGCCCGCGGCTCCGGGGGGCAGCGTGTTCCCGGCCGGCGGCGGGCCCCTGCTCACCGGCGGTGCGGCGGTGCACATCTCCGCCGCCGGCGCTGCCAAGGCCACCCTGTACTGCCGTGTCTTCCTGCTCGACGGGACTGAAGTGAGCGTGGACCTGCCGGTGAGTGACGGGGCCGACCCGGGGTACTGACACCCCTTGGGGCAGCTCCCCTCCCCCGCTGCTCCCCTCTGGGAGATCCAAGGATCCCTTCCCCCTTCTCCTGCGATCACTTCCTACCCCTGCTTCCCTCTCGGGCCACCCCGTCCCGGTCTCTTCTGGAACCCCATCCGTGGCTTGTGCCCCCTCGTTGGGACACTGCGCTGCTGGATTGCGCCGTCTCCGGTTCCCACCTAGTCCTTTGGGCCTCACTCCCTCCCCAGCTCACCCAGTCCCCTCTTCCCGAGTCCCCGCCCCCTGGCGCGGGTGACCGGCGTTCCCCTTCCGCCCCCTGGGTTCCAGCGGGGGCCTTCTTGGTGCTGGGTTATTGCTTAGAAAAATCTCAAAGCAATGCGGGGCTGCCTCGAGGTGGCCTGCTTGCCCCCACAAAGTCGCCATCAGGCCTTGTGGAGACGGCAGGAAGGAGAAGCCTCGTCCCCAGCTGCCCAGCAGGTGCCCCAAGTTTGGGAGGCAGTGTAGGGACCATTTCTCTCCCTTTCTCGATGCCCGCCCCCGCCCCATCCCAAAGAGTCCCTACAGCCCTTAGTGTCGCGGGGGGGGGGGGGGGGGGGCAGGTGGGGGACTTGGGAGCTAACTCTAAAATCGACTCTCTTGGACCTGGCCAACTTTGCACCTGCAGAGCCCTTTGCTGGGGCGCCGGGAGTTGGCCTTGGGGCCCCCACGGGGCCTGGCGCGCCGGACTTTGCGCCCCGGGCAACGTGCGTGGGGCGGCCAAGGCACCCCCGGGCGGCGGCGCCGGGTCCCGGGCCACCCGCCCACAGGTGGTTGCACCCCGCCCCCCTGCAGCAGATAGCTAGGTTGGCGCTGCTGTCCCCGCCAGGGCGTCCGGCTTTCTAGCCCGAAGGGGCCAGATGTGATCAAATCAAATCCGCACATTAATGGGGCGCCTACTGGGCACCTGGCGCTGCGGCAGACGGTGCCTTTGGGAATCTTTGGGTGTGACTGAGGACACAGCGCTGATTGAGCTTTTAGGTGAATGTTACAGGTTATTCCGAGGGTTTCCTGCGGAAAAAATAACATACCCAGACTTGCAAAGGAAACACTTAGGCCTTACCTGGTGGGGGAAATTCTTTAGATTTCGGGAGAGAACTAGGGACCTGTAAGGGTTTTAGATGGGAAAATCAGAACCTGCTTGGCCTTGGAGTTTAATGCTGCCTTAGGTTTAATTTTGAGACAGTTGCAATTTATGGCAATTTTATTTTTGTGGTTCCTAGTGCTCTCCATAGAATATCATTTTGTTATGATAATACCCTTTTGGGGCCTTTTTATTCATGGAAAAGGAGCCAGCGTTCCTGTGCTTAGAGCTGTTGTCTTTAAAATAGCATGAAAATGTTACTCCTCCCCAGGATTGAGGCTTTCCAGCTTGTATTGAGCTGGGAGAGGAGGCCTGAAGAGCTTGGAGGAGTGGAGAGGTGGGCAGCTTCTGTGTGGAGAGGATGTGGCGTATTTTGCATCTCGGATCAGGGAGAGGAAAGCTCTCCATGGGAACTTTGACCGTGCTCCTTGAGGATTTTCTTGTCGGTTCCCCAGGGATGGTTCATTTTATAAAATGTATTGCTTCTGTCAGGTTTGTGCGACAGGCGTTAAGTGGTGTTTCTCAGATGAAAAATGCAAACTGAGTCAGGTGCATGTGTGGTGGATAGACCCAAACAGGTACACCAATGATCTGGTTGGGATTGGACCAGCAAGCCCAGCTCCGCGTGGGGGAGGGGGATGCTTACATTGAAAGGTTTCTCCACTTTACAAAAGGTTGCTGGACGAAAGATTTCCCCAGGTTTTCTTATGATGGCGGATTTCTCCATGCTTTAGGATGTGATGTCCTGAACCCGAAATTTTATTTATATGGACACACCCCATCCAAAGACAAAATGCGGGCTTTTGTCACGTGAGCCCTCCCGGAGGAATGATGAAGAAAAATTACCAGTGAGCACGGCTCATCGATTTAAAGATTTATTAGATATCAGAACTGCATCACACAGTCTCCTGTGCTCGTCTTCTCAGATCAGAGTGTGAGTTCCTGTAATTAATTCTCTGAGTACGAGGTTAGCACCCGGTGGCCAGAACCCAGTGAGTTTGTAGATGAATTTGTAGCACGCATGCTCCTTCCTAAGACCCATTTCACTGGGCTCACTTTTTATGCTATCCTGTTTGGCATTTAGCCCTGCTTATCATTATTTTCCTCTTCTGCTTTCCTGGATTTTTACCGCTTCCTGGGCTCTGGTGTTGCATTGCTGCCTGTCACACAGATAGGATTTACCTTTGGCCGCCATACCCCTAAGCTGGATTTTCTGTCTCCTGTCACTTCCCCAGGCACTCAGTGCGCTTGCCGGGCTAACTATGGCCCTTTGTAATTAAAACCCTCTGGTGGTGTTAGCTTCAAGAATTCCTTTGCTCAGCATACTAACAGTGGTTATGTGTTGTCATAGCCATTTTATTGGCCCTAATCTGGACACTTTAGGTTCTGAAATTGACTTGAACACAACAGCACTTTCAGTGTGACCATGCCAGGGCACCTTTTCTTGAGCATGTTCAGTGTGCCAAGCATTGTGCTGTGGACACAGGTGAAGGAGAGGTGGCCTGGAGGCTCTTGGGAAACACAGGTAAAAACATGCCTTTTTATTCTAAGTGATGTATGTGATGTGGCAGGCTCACCTTGACAGCGTCCTGGGGGATGGGCAGGTTAAGAGGGCTTCCTGGAGATTTTGACTCTTGGGGTCATAGGATCTCAAATCCAGTGTCCCCTGTGCATTTTTTAGAATACCTATTGTGTCAGGTCTACTCCTTGGCTAACTCGTGGCCAGTGGTTATATTTAGTAAAGGAAGAAGCAACTGTAATTGTCTTCAGCCATCCTCAGACGGGGTCTGTAGTCTCCTTGTCCTGTGGTAGGCTGCATCCCCTAGCATGCCGGCCCGTTTTTAACCTTTGCTGTGGTTTCTCAGTCTTTGGTAAAATGTGAACAAAAGGATCTTAAAAAAAAAAAATCCATCTGTAACTTGCTGGGACGCCTGGGTGGCTCAGTCGGTTAAAGCCTTTGACTCTTGATCTCAGCTCAGGTCACAATCTCAACAGTTTGTGAGATCAAGCCCCACATCGGGCTCCTGCACTGACAGCACAGAGCCTGCTTGGGATTCTCTCTCTCTCTCTCTCTCTCTCTCTCTCTGTCCTTTCTTTTCCCATGCTTGTGCTTACTCTTTCTCTCAAAATAAATAAATAAACTTAAAATAAAATGGGCTTGACAAACCCAGCTTCCAGGGGAGTCCCTGGCTCACCCTACAAGCCAGAGTGGTGCCATGAGCCACCCCTCTTCAGAAAACCTGTCCTTGGAAGGTGCTGCCTCCCTCTCCTTAGACCAGCCCTGCCCTGCCCAGCCCTCAGGTGTGGTCTGGTCCGAGCAGGGCAGGACTCCCTCAGTCCTACCCTAGACACTTGCCTTCTATTAATGCAGCCGAAGATCCCATTAGTGTGCTTGGCAGCGGCACCCGCTGTTGACTCATATTAGCTCTCTGTTGACTAAATCCCTGGCATCGCTTTTGCTCGTGAGGCTGTTGCTCAGCCCCGTCTCCCCCTCCCCTGCGTGCACAGTCTCCCGGCAGCTCTGTGTGGAAAGCTGTCGGGAGGTGTGTGTGACTGACTGGTTAGCGCTCCCGCCATGCCTCGGAGGGCACGGCTTCTTGGCCAGTGGTGGTGCCATTGGCACGTTTGCTTTCACCGAATCTGGGACTCAGCGTTGGCTCATTGTGGTTCAGTGCTAGTGGGGAGAACTTCAGACTTGGGAGATCCGTGCTGGAGCCTTTCAGGCTGGCTGTGTAGCCCTGGGCAGCTCGAATTCTGGGAGCATCGACTTCTTGGTCTTTCAAATGGGGACGTTGGGAGCATAACGCCACAAGGATGATATAAAGGCTTCAGTACACAGCAGGGTACTGAAGGGTTGCTCAGAGGTTGTAATCTTACACACTTCTCATACCGCCTCTTTGACCTGTGGAACCAGTTGGGAAGCAGGTCTAGTAACAGATGCTAAAAACAAACCAAAAAGAGCTGTGGTAGGAAGCCTAAACATCTTTTTTTTTTTTTTTATGTTTATTTTTGAGCGAGAGAGAGAGAGAGAGGTGAGAGAAGACAGAGAATCCCAAGCAGGCTCTATGCTGTCAACGTGGGAGCCTGATGTGGGGCTTGATGTGATGAACTGTCAGATTGTGACATGAGCTGAAACCAAGAGTCGGACACTTAACCCACTGAGCCACGCAGGCACCCCTAAACATCTTTTTTACTGGAAATCAGAAGTTATATGTAGTATGAGAGATGCTTTTTGAAACTTTCAGTTTTAATTTTTTTTTAATTTTTTTTAACGTTTTATTTATTTTTGAGACAGAGACAGAGCATGAACGGGGGAGGGGCAGAGAGAGAGGGAGACACAGAATCGGAAGCAGGCTCCAGGCTCCGAGCCATCAGCCCAGAGCCCGACGCGGGGCTCGAACTCACGGACCGCGAGATCGTGACCCGAGCCGAAGTCGGACGCTCAACTGACTGAGCCACCCAGGCGCCCCTCAGTTTTTATTTTTTAATTTTTTAAAAATGTTTATTTTTGAGAGAGAGAGGGAGAGAGAACGTGAGCAGGGGAGGGGCCGAGAGAGAGAGGAAACGGAGGATCAGAAGTGGGCTCTGTGCTGACATCAGAGAGTCTGATACGGAGCTCAGACTCACAACCTATGAGCTCATGACCTGAACTGAAGTTGGACGCTTAAGCCACTGAGCCACCCAGGCACCCCTGAAAGTTTCACTTTAGCTGAGAAGAGAATGCCTCCCCTGACACCCAATTGCAAGTTCTTAGAATTCTGGAAGTGGAATCTCTGATCCAGCTGAATGTATGTGATGGAACACAAAGAGCATATACCTTATTTTGGAGTTGAAAGGAACCCTAGACAGCACATATTCCGCCCTTTGT